TCACCTCGAAATAGAGGACATCTTCACCTTTTGGGTCTGAGAGTTTTCATGAATGATTTTGAAGATTGTCACTGTAACAAAGTTCTATCTGTTTTTGTCTTTCTCCTTTTTGTTTCTGGTGTGTACAGTTCCATTTACAGCTGGTGCTTGCATTGCTTTTGCGTGGCCTATAGCTTTTAGGCATTCAAACAGTTTATTCTGAGATGGAAATGCAGTTGCAGGTTACACAGTGGATGGGGACTTCACTCTATAAAAGGGAAACAAACCAGCAGTGCTTCACATTAGTATAGGATATGTAATGAATAAAACACACTGGTTTGTGCTGTGCAGCTTCTCTTAGACAACAAAATGCGAGTACTAAGCTGTTTGCTTCTATAATACATATAAGATTACTAATTAGTATTTTAAAAACAAATCCTAACACACACCTTCTTTAAATGCTAAGGAGGGTCAAGTAGAGCCAAGAACAGAGAAAGAGGCCTTACAAACAGAAGCTTTTTAAAATCTGACGTATTCTTTAACTGCCTAAAGACGACTATATATATGCATACTTGTTTGGGCTGTAAGATGTACTGAATGAAGTAGGTCTTAGTTGGAGGATCTTAAGGTTTTGCTCGTTCTGGGAAGTGGAAGCATCAATAGTGGTAAGGATGCAGTGTTACTGCCTGTCATGTGCTTGATGACAACAGCTCTGTCTTTAGTGTGTATAATTTAATTGGGTTGAGCTGCTGTGGTGAGACTAGGACTATGTGTCTAGGACTGTGTTTCATTACTGAGAGAGTTGCTACTTTTCCCTGAAAAACATACAAGCTTCTAAATTCTAATGTAATCTCAGGAATAGAAAGTACCTGTTTAAAAATATTAGCAAGTAAGCCAAAAATCTTGAACAGAATTTGTAGACTGAAGGTGATCAAACCAACAACTTTGTTTTTAATTTTATACTGTTTAGATACTGGTGATTTTTAAATAACTTGACATACCATTGCTGGGTGCTCTGATGATGCCTCAGCAGATTTTTTTTTTTTGCATCCTTGTTTTTTTTTTGCCTTTAGGCTTAGTACTGCTGATAGACAAAAATAAAGATCAGTGTAACATAGGAACATTCAATGTTATTCAACATTTAGTGCCTTTGATCATTTTCAATCAGTGTCTCTGCATCTTCCCCCTCCCTTCCTTCTCACAACCAGTCACAAGTGCTTCCATTAAAAACATCAATTTCACTGGGACTTGTCCATCTCAAGATTTAGCTAGATGATGAATTAACTACTGGTGAATGAAGTGGCACCTACTGATATTCCAAAGCCATTTTCAAATTAGACTGCTTGTTTAGTATTACATTTAACTCTAATGATTTATTGGAGTAGCCTCCAATTCACATTGCTGAGAAAATTCAGACTGTGTGACAGTATCAAACAGGGCATGGAATCACATAGTCACTGCTGTATTACAAATCAGTGCTGATGAAATTACCTTTTCGCTTCTTTTTTTGCTTCATTCACTTGGCTGATATCTTCTGTAGCACTCGTTTCCTCCGACACAGAACATTTCTGGCCATCGGTTACCAGCTCCCCTGCTGAGCTACTGTCCTTGTCTGCACTGGGAGCCTCCTTCTGTTCAACTGGTTCTTCATCAGCACTTTGATCAAAAAAGTCCTCATACATTCCTGTCTCACTGACAGACTTAACTACTCTACCCTATTCAGCAATTACATTTCTAACAGTCATTTTTTGTCATGCAGGAGAGAGTGGGGGAAAATCACACACACACACACACACACACACACAGGCATCAATTTTCTAATTGTATTCTGTGCTTTCAGTGACACCTTAGTTACCTTAGTTTGAAAGGCAAGGCTATCTGTGATGAAGAATCAGTGTAGAGACACCCTTAACATACAGCCTCTAGAACTCAGGGAGAGGAGAATTACAGCAGCTTTTAGTTATACACTGGATTCATACTGTTTTGGCTACCATTCCACATTACAGATTAATGGTTTTGATTGTAACTGTGCCACACGTTAAATGTTTAGTCTAGTTTTCTGTGCCACACATCTGCATTAGGACACTGAAGCCAAAATAACTGGCTGATGCTACATGAGTGTGCTATACATTCCCTCCTTCCCCCACAACATTTAAAAAAGCACCAGTAACCCCTTTCCCATCGACTGGATGATGGGATCCCACTGACATGGTGAGGATTAGCCTCAGGACAGGAAGTTTGCCAAAAAGTCAACTCCTGAGCATGTGTGAAGCAAAACAGCTCAGCTCCTAGAAGCAGGATAAAAAGATGGACATAACACTATGGTCATGCAACTGTAGCTCCTCTAGTATTTTTGGCAGAGTTGCAACTGACTGGCAAAATTTGGCTAAGCTACCAATATCCATAAAAGTGAAAACCACCAGCGTTTACATGTGCTCAGCAGAAGCTTGGTAGGGGATGGCAGTTTCCAGAAGAGGCTCTCCACACTAAGAACATTCCAGCTCATGATGTGTGAGATGCAACCCATGCTCTGGGCTGCAGAAGACCTTGTAACAGAACTGATGGCAGGGAAAGAAGTCCCCCATACACATCTTATACTGCAAATCAAGACCTTCTGATTCCAAATTGAGGGGACGAGGTAGACAGGTGATGGGCTGGATGGAAACAAGAAGAGCAAATCTCACCTCCAATTATGCAAACCCAGGAAAAGTGGAAAGAAGAGGCTTGTATAAACATATCTGGGAGTGTCTCAAGGGCAAGAAATAATGATGGTAGAGGAGAAAGCAGAGAAAGGGAATACAAACAGGAGACCACATGGAGCAAAGATTGGAAAAAAAGGTATGAGACCTTCTAGGGAA